GGGATTTTAATTGCTTTTTTGCTATATAAATGAAAAAGTCCAAAAATTTTGAAAAAAAAAAAAGTGTTTTTCTTATAACATTTTGCAAATAAATAATATTTCATCCTAAATCTTGGCCAAGATTTATTCAGTCATCTTTTTAGTAAAAAAAAAAATAACCCAAAGTAGTTTATAACCGAAAACGATAATTTAAAAAAAAAATTACATGATTTTTAAAAAAAAAAAAATATTATATATATATATATATATATATATATATATATATTTTTTTTTTATTTTTTTTATTTTTTTTTAACATACTGTCACATTAGTAGTACAGTGTCACCATGTTGACACTGTACTACTTGTTGGGTGCTGAAGATTTTTTTTTTTTTTTTTTACACTGATTGCTTTTGCACCCATAAAGGCTGTAAAAGCAATCATTTCTCCTCCTCTCTGGCTGCATTCTTGCAGCCATTGAGAAATACTGGGAGCTGTAATTGGTCACAGCTTGTCACATGGTACAAGGCTGTTGTGAATAGCCTTGTACCATGTGACCTCATTCACAGATTTCACACGTAGCAAGCAATGATGTCAGAAGTGACATCTTGCTTACTACTCTGCATGTGATCACCGATTGGCCAATCAGTGATCACATGATCGGGACCTCACACAGAGGTCCCGTACGACGGTTCGTGTTCCACTGTGTCCGGAGGACACAGCGGGCACTGGATCGAGGTGCTGTGCGCGCTCCCAGGGGAGTGCGCACAGTCCAAGATGGCTGGCGCCATTTATGAACGGCAAACCGCCCCTGCACTGCCACCGTCCAGCAGTTTATATACAGCGGCCGGACGGCAAGTGGTTAAAGCTTACCTGTAGGTACAAGGAATATCTTCTAAACTTGAAACAGCGCATACACATTGCTCTCTGGATTAAGGGCACATTGAGCATGGGGCCACGTATAAATAGTCTATTTTCTTTATGTTTTTAGGCTGCGTGGCTTATAAACATTTCACCATATACAGTATTCTATTAGTGTCGCTTAGCCACTCATTTTTCACTTTATCCCCAGTTAGGGGGGGTCACTGTTATATGGTTCACTTTTTTCTTTGTATCAGTTGTATATCTGTTTTATTTACAACTATGTTGTGGCAAAGTAGCTTTGTGGTTTTTCACAAGTAACCACTTTTTCGCAAAGTTTCCTTTCGTTTCAGCTATGTGCACTATAAATGTTCTTTTCCGGTAGATTTTTCTGGCAATACCAGTTTGGGACGCAATATAGCTGCAGGTATATTTCACATTACAAGTTATTTTGTGCAATTAAGCACGGTAGTGGTAGGATTCTTTTTTATCCCCATTTTGGCACTATTTACGGATAAAAGTCACAGATTTATGGTGTACTTCGGTTACACCCTAGATATAGTTTGGGGGGTTTCACGGTTATATATGATTTTGTATTTTCATGTGCATTCTATTCTATATATTGTGATATTCGTCAGTCACCTATTTATGGTGCACTTAGGTTACACCCTAGATTTTGTACTTTGGGGGTTCCACTGTTATATATGATTTTTATGTGCATTTTTTTTTTTTTTTTTTTTCAACATGTTTATTGAGTTAGCTACAATAGTTGTTGGGCATTTGAGTTACAAATATATCAAACAATTGCTTAACTTATTTATGTGCATTCTATTCTATATCCATCTTGGGATGTATATGCTCTGTGAGGTTTTCTGTTCATTTTGATTCAAGAGATAAATGATTAGCGCAGCACCAAATTATTATATCTTCCAAGTGCTGTGCAACGATCGTGGTTCCTGTGTGTACACACGAAAGGGACGTCATCACGACTCTGGTATCCGAACAGCCGGAGCCCACAAACTCGAAAGGAAGACCGGGTGAAGATGGAAGCCCTGTCAGTGGTGACAGCGTGAGGGCTTCGTTCTTAGGCAAGTCTTTCACAATGTGCTAGTGTGCAGTGAATACTAGCACATTATGCTCTTAACTTTCAGGGGGGGAAGATTTATTTATTTATTTTTAAACGGCCTCTTCTACCACATTAACCACTTCAATACCGGGCACTTATACCCCCTTCCCTGTCCAGGCCAATTTTCAGCTTTCAACGCTGTAGCACTTTGAATGACAATTGCGCGGTCATGCAACACTGTACCCATATGAAACTGTTATATTTTTTCACACATATAGAGCTTTCTTTTAGTGGTATTTAATCACCGAGTTTTTTATTTTTTGCAAAATAAAACAAAAAACACCTGAAACATTTGAGAAAAAACAAAAAACGCACTTTTCTTCGTTTCTATTATAATATTTTGCAATAAATAACATTTCCTCATAAATTTAGGTCAAAAAGTATTCAGCTACATTTCTTTGGTGAAGATAATAATTTAATTTGTATTTTTTTTCAAATCTTTCTATTATTTTTTTATAACATTTTTTCTTTTTCTTTTTACGATTTTATTTTTCAGCACTGTGACCAAAGCAATACAATGTTACCGTAGTAACATTGAACTACTCTGGGCAAGTGATCAGGATTTTTTTTTATTTTTATACATTGTGATTGCTAATACCAATGGATTTCATTGATATTTGCAATCATTGTTACTGAATGAAACTGATTAATTCAGTCTTTTGTTGTGATTAGTCGTGATTGGGCAAAGCTCATCACATGATACAGATGGGCTGTGATTGGCCCTGTCTGTACCATGTGACTGTTTTGACCAATCACAGCTGATAACACAATTGTATACAATGGATGGCATGACAGGAAGCCATCCATTGTATACAATTGACATGTGATCTGCTGTGACTGGTCACAGTGGTCACATGACACTAGCAATGGGCCGGTGTAGTCATATGTCATCGGCTGTGTCCCGTGGACACAGCTGGTGGCAAATCGCACCCCTGCGTGGCCCTGCGGTCACATGAGCGGCTCGTTTTGACAGGGCGGCATATGACGCCCAGTTACAACGGCGAGTGTCCCCCCGCCCGGCCGTCAATCTGCTATAGGTGTTAAGATCTAACGTGTTACTGATTTTACAGTTGCATCGAACGTGAAGAACATAATATTGAAGAGTAGAAGAGACTCGTGGACCATTGCGGTTGTTTTATACCATGATCAGAAACAAAACCTAGAGGGGGCATCTAGCCAACTGGTTTATTAAACGCCCTGTTAAGCAACGAGTTCAAGTGGACCTGAACTCTGGAAGAAAGGAAAGCTACAAAGGATTAGTCATCAGCCTGCTGTTTCCCTGCAGCTTAAATTTTCCCCAATACAAACCTACCATGCCTTGTGTCCTTGTTTGAAGGTGGCCATCTTGGTACAGGGGGCATGACCCAGAACAGGAAGTTGTCTTGTCCCTTTGCAAATAGGGATGAGCTCGTGGAATGAATATATGGACACAGGGGGATTGACCAGCCATGACACTACAATATGTAAGCCCATCATTACAAGGTAGGGCAAACAAACAACGTACGGAATACAACTCCTCTAATACCTAGGTCAATGAAAACATTTGAAAGTACAATGCCTTTAAAGCTGAACTCCAGGATAGTTTAAAAAAAAAAAAATCATGCTTGGGCATATATATAGGAACAGGAAATGGTGGCTCACATTTTAAACATATTCGTTTTTGAGAAAAGAGCCTTTTCAAAGTATACGACATCATCGCTTGGATAGAGAAAGCGAAGCTATTCACAGGCACCCCAAGGAGGTATCAAAAAAGCAGCACTTCTGCCCGCTCACAGTGCGATGCCGCTGGAACAAACTGCGATTCCCATCATGCAGTGGGGGTTGTAGCTGTGAATGAAAATACATGTGGACAAGATTGTGGTTGATCCTAAGCATGTCAATCGTGGCAGATCAGTGGTACCTGTACCAAGGAAAAAGAAATTGCTTGGGACCTAGACAGCAGACTTCTACAAGTACATCATTCTTTAGGCCCCATGTACACGGGACACTTATGAACGATGGAAACTGACTGCTGGAAAACGTAGGTTAAAAAACGTCTGTTTAGCCGTGGCTGCATAACACGTTTATGCGTGTTTGCGTTTAGAAGCATTTTTTAAAGATAAGCACAAGAGAACCTCCCAAATGCCCAGAATGCACTGAAACGTGGTAAATTATTAACTATTTCAGACTGTTTCAGATAAATACAGAGAGTAGAAGCAGAGACAGCAGTATGTGTTGAGATAATTAGGTGTGAGTTGCTCATTAACATTTCTTTTTATTCCAAGGGTGGGAAAGGTGTCTGCTGGAGGGAGTCATTAAGGTCAGGGGGGTCTTCATGAGGAATTTGAGGTGTGAATGGTCATTAACATATCCTTTGTTTCCAAGGGTGGGAGAGGTCTGAGGTGAGAATTGGTCATTACAATGTGTGACAAGCTTGGCAGGAACATCCTGTGTTCAGTGTTTTGTCCATCTGAGTACCTTAAAAACTCTTTGCATGCATATTTCAGGATGAAAAAAGGCTCTAAACAGCATTGGCAACTGGAAGAGTTAAAGAAAAATTTCAAACGCAAACGCTTATAAATGCGTTTAGCCGCGTTTACAAGCGTTTTGCGTTTGAAACGCTGATAAAATCGACTGCTGAACGCACGTTTTCTGCATTCAAAAAAAAAACGACTGTAAACTCAAATGCCTGTAAACAACGATGTGTACATGGACACATAGGAAAACATTAGGGAGAGTTCAGGGGCTGCTGAAAAACATGCAGAACAGCTCCTAAACGTGAGTTTATCAGCTGCAGTGTACATGGAGCCCTTACAAGGTGAAATAAAAAAATGTGCAGAATGGGTTAGAGAGGACATGGGATGCTGGAGAGGTGAGTATATCGTGTCTTCTAGTGAACACAGTTTTGGATCTTTAGAGACCTTATAAAATCTTTTAGCACAGTCACCATATCTAGAGAGAAGACTGGAGTTTCATTTACAATTGCACAGCTCACTGAGAGATACAGACAAGACAAAAAAGTCCTGAGAGACCCTGTTGTGTTTAAAGATGAATTTCTCCTCACCTGCTTCATGGCGAACTCTCCAATCCTCTCAGAGTGCTTGCGGATGCTTTCCAGGAAGTCCTTCAGGTCGGACATGGACACCTCTTTGATCTCCTCACGTAGTCTCGGGATGTTGTCCACCATGACCTGGCAGAAACGGTAGTGACTAACCTGAGGCAGGTAAGTGTGCTCCAGCTGTTCCAAAGTCTTCAATGCAGGGTAATGTCTATGGAAGGCATGAAAAATCAAGAACATATCCATCACAATTGTATAAATATTTACTTGTGAGCCTCTGTGATTTTAAATTAATAAATATTGTGGTTCGCTGACATTAATCACTTCCTCATAATCATGTGCAATTGTACCATACCATTAAAAAACAAAAATGTCGCGCTCCAAAATTAAAATTAATTAAATAATATAACTCAAAAAATTCCCCCTGATTTATAGACTCAAATATATAATCAATTGTGCCTTTTTCCATAATTAGCATCAATTCAATTATATGATTAATGTGATATATTTTTCGATCAATTTGTAAAAATAATAATAAAAAATGTCAACTGTGACTTATTAAAAATTATTACAACTTAAATGTGGTAAAACCCAAATAAATAAATTATAAACTGATTTATTTGAGTTTTACCACATTTAAGTTGAAATAATTTTTAATAAGGCACAGTTGACATTTTTTATTATTTTTACAAATTAATCGAAAAATATATCACATTAATCATATAATTGAATTGATGGTAATTATGGAACAAGGCACAATTTATTATATATTTAAATGAGTATTTAAATCACTGGGAATTTTTTGAGTTATATTATTTAATTAATTTTAATTTTGGAGCGAAATATTTTTGTTTTTTAATGATATCCATTACAATTCCACAACTAGAGAAGAGTACACAAATGTTAAGATTTTCATCTTTAGGCTCTTCTGTTCACCTGATCATTCTGCCGGTAACACATTTCGTGTACCAGATCAGGACTACAGAACACCTTTCCTTTTCCTTCTCTCCAGAACATAGATTGAGGGTTCCTGTAGTCCACAGACAGAACCAGGAACAAAGGAACTGATAAGGGTGCAGCACAGGCAGAGAGCACAGAAAGTTATCAGCTCACTGGGTTGGTGGTAGGATCAACAGGTAAGAAATACCTCTCCACCTCATACAAAACATTCCCCAATTGGCACCAATGCCAAGTGGCCGACTTCCTGTGTTGAGAACGCAGCAGGGCAGCCATTCGGCATGGGACCCGGAAGCAAGTGGAGATCACTGGAGTCTACTACAGAGATTTCAGGGGGATCACACAGGTACATAGTTACATTGGTTCAAGCTGGAGCAATGTAACATTGTACACCTGGAATTCTTCAAAGTATTAAAGTGGTTGTAAAGCTCAGACATGAAATATGAACAAAGCACATCCCTTTATAGTGTGTACCTATCTCAATTAACCACCTCCCATCCAGTTGTTGTATATAAACGGCCCGAACGGAGGAAGCGCGCAGCACAACGATCCGGTGCCCGCTGTGTCCTCCGGATCGTTGTTCGGGACCTCTGTGTGAGGTCCCGATCAAGTGATCACTGTTTGGCCAATCAGTGATCACATGCAGAGTAGTAAGCAAGATGTCGCTTCTGACATCATTGCTTACTACATGTGAAATCTGTGAATGATCACAGAGGTCACATGGTACAAGGCTATTCACAACAGCCTTGTACCATGTGACAAGCTGTGACCAATCACAGCTCACACAGTATTCCTCAATGGCTGCAAGAATGCAGCCAGAGAGAAGGAGAAATGATTGCTTTTACAGCCTTAATGGGTATAAAAGCAATCAGTGTAAAAAAAAAAAAAAAATCTTCCATCACCCCCCACAAGTAGTACAGTGTCACCATGGTGATAGTATGTAAAAAAAAAAAACTAAATAATATAAAAAAAATAAAATAAAAATGTAAAAAAAAAAAAAAAAAAGTTTAAAAATTATAATTTTTGGTTATAAACTAATTTGGGTTATTTTTTTTTACTAAAGAGATAACTGAATAAATGTTGGCCAAGATTTATGAAGAAATATTATTTAATTGCAACATTTTATAAGAAACACTTTTTTTCAAAATTTTTGGAATTTTTAATTTATATAGCAAAAAAAAAATAAAAATCCCAGCGGTGAAGAAATACCACCAAAATAAAGCTTTATCTGTCTAAAAAAATGCTAAAAAATTCATATGGGTACAGTGTTGCATGACCGTGCAATTGTCGTTCAAAGTGTGATAGCACTGAAAGCTGAAAATTGGCCTGGACTGGAAGGGGGTAAAAGTGTCCGGACTGGAAGTGGTTAAGAGCACTAAGTGTCATTTCTGTCTGCTGCTTTGTTCCTCTGCTATCAGCATGAATCACTTCTGAGAACATTTCCTGACACCAAGAGAAAAATGGTGACAGGGAAGGGACCTCCAGTAAATAGACACCTCGGCTCTGTTCCTGTGTGCTGTGTGGAAGGGAGTGTGTCCTGAGTTTCCACACTGCTTTCTTTCCTCTCCTTGCAAAGGTGACAGTTCGGGCTAGACAGCATCTGATTGGTCAGCACAGCTTTTTCTCCTCTCCTACCGCTGACACTCAGCATGTGATGCCTGCAGGGAGCCTGCACCCCTCCTGTGTGAACTCGGCTATGGCAATAATGGGTTTACACAGGAAAGTGGGGAAACCACATGTGATTTGGACAAGAATCTCAATAACGCCAATCGTACCACAAAAGTATCGGTTAAGCAATTGGGATTATTTTCACGAGTAACCAAGAAAATACTCTGTATCAGCACCGATACCGGCATAGGTGCATCCCTACTTGGTGGATTGGCTAGAGAGATTTTCATCATTATCCTGACTGCATTCAACTTCAACAATCTTTTGGACAGATGACCCCACATTCTTAGAACACTTTGACCTGATGCAAAATGTATAGATGATTCAAGCAGCCCAGGCCCTAAAGCAGCAAAGCAACCCCAAACCATAACATTTCCACCTCCATGCTTCACAGTTGTGGAGGGGGGGGGACATATGACCCCACATTCTTAGAACACTTTGACATGATGCATAATGTATAGATGATTCAAGCAGCCCAGGCCCTAAAGCAGCAAAGCAACCCCAAACCATAACATTTCCACCTCCATGCTTCACAGTTGTGGAGGGGGGGGGGACATATGACCCCACATTCTTAGAACACTTTGACATGATGCATAATGTATAGATGATTCAAGTAGCCCAGGCCCTAAAGCAGCAAAGCAACCCCAAGCCATAACATTTCCACCACCTCCATGCTTCACAGTTGCAGGGGGGAACTTCTCCCAAAAAACTGCCTTTGGTTTCTAGCAAACATGTTTGCTGTTACCAAACCACTCTATCAGTCTTCAGCACAATGTTCAAGCAGGACTGGTCTTTGCCTATATGGTCATTGGCAAACTTAATTCTGCTGTAATGTCCTTTTCGGACATCAAAAACACACCGCTCATGCAGGCTGAATTGGTATAAACTCTTTCCAATCGTAGATGCATCCACTTTGATCCCAACTGCTTCAAGAGTTACCTGAATATGTTGTGAAATTTTGCAGGTTTTGGAGACTTCTTTTGTCATTGAATGTTTAGCACTTGGGTTGAATGTGTCCAGTCCTGAACAATTTGATTTGTATAATCTATGCCATTTTGTAGATTTCTTTCCTTACAGTGGAATGACGGATTTCAAATCATCTGAGGATCTTTGGAATTCCCTTGCCAGACTCTTACGCACAAACGACTTTCTTTCTAATGCAGGCCATAGACAGGTCGAAAATTGGCCGATTTTCGCACCGTTCGTGGGTTAATTGGTCGGACGCTTTTCAGGGTTTTGGCACATTTTTTTTTAATCGGTAAAGTTGGGGGGGGGGGGGGGAAACGGCCGATTTTGCCGATCGGCCGATTTTGCCAGCAATGATGGGCAAATCAGCCGATCTTTTTACCGATAAAAAATCTGTGCATGAGCTGTGACCTGCAAGAAGAAGAAGAAAAAGAAGAATAAGAAAAGAAGAAAAAAAAAAGAATCCCAGTCCGCTATTATATTTTATATGAAAGGTCTTGCGGTTGCAATAATGTATCTATTTGTATCCGAAGAAAAACATCTGTATCCAAAATGGATACAAATGGATACAGTGTCGCAACCGCAATACTTTTTACCATTGGTGGTAGCGTCGGCCGATCGAACGACCGTTTATTTTTTCGTTTTTTTTTTTCGTTTTTTTTTTTAATTAAAAAAACGGCCGGTTTTCAACCAATCTATGGCCTGCATAAGGGTCTGAGAGCTCTATTGGTCTGAGAACATCAGACCCTAGATATCTGAGGATTAAATAGAAGACACATTCTACCTGCATATTCTCTAAGGTGGTTCTATTCATTATTATTATTATACAGGATTTATATGGCGCCAACAGTTTGTTCAGCACTTTACAATATAACGGGAGGCAATACAGCAACAATACAAGAGGGTTAGGAGGGCCCTGCTCCTTGGAGCTTACAATCTAAGAGGTCACCTCATCTGAAACAGGATTATTCTGATTGGGTGCATCCTCAGGACAAATGTGCAAGTGTCTGAAAGGTCATTTTTTTTTTTTCAAGTAAAACATGATCTACCTACAATTGCACAGGGCAGCTCCGTTCCTCCTCTTCTGGAATCCCCCACTGGTGCTCCTGGCTCCTCCTCTTCTTAGTGTGCCACCATATGGAAGCATCTTCCTATTGCGGCATACCTGTGGGGTCAATCCTGAACCCTGCTGTGTCTTTAGACACAGACAGCAAGGCTTGACCCCGCCCCCTACACCCTTGTCATAGAATCTGACTGACAGCAGCAGAAGCCAAAGGCTCCCACTGCTCTAAGCAAAGCCTTTGAGAGCGGGGAGAAGAGGAGAGAACTGCAGCAGACAGGCACAGTGATGGATTGAATGAGGGCTCAGGTAAGTATTAGGGGGGGTTAGGGGCTGATACTCATCCAGGGAATGCATTTAGGTAAAAAAAGGTTTTGGGTTTGCAACCAATTTAGATCACCGCTGGTCAACTGGAGAATTATAGAGGGCCTCAAAGGCGAACTCCACACACACGCAAACCTACAACTAGAGGGCCACACATTAGCAGCAAATTTTTGCACCTCAACAACCAAAAATTTTGGTTCTGCTGCATTTGTGGTGAATTGCAATGCACACCCAAG